GTCGGATTTGTTGTGCTTTCGCCTGCAGTGTGAACGTAGCCAAAGAGTGAACAGTAGACTCTCACTAAATTATATATTTTTCATCTCTGTTCACAAGTTTCTGGATTTCTTTGTTTTGTAAGACTAAGACTGAACTTTATTTTTCCATGTTTGGCAATGTTCACATTCTGTTTAACTTGTTGCTTTTTTGAAGAAGTGATGCAGACTAATGAATCAGTCTAGTGACAAAAGTTACAAACAGTTGTTTGAAAGGAAAGCTGTTTGTTCAAAACAGAAATTGTGAATGAGTTTATTATCTAAATAAATTTGCTGCTAGGCTTTCTGTCATAGTTTTGTTTAGAAGGATTCCTGCCATGTGGGGAATAATGTAAAAAGTTTGAGAATAACTGGATTATTGCAATATCAAGTTGTGCCTTGTTCTCAGACGGACAGCAAGTGGAGAGTGATAGATGAGATGAGGAGATGGAAGGAGGAAGAGAAGCAAAGAGTGATTCACAGGCAGAGCTGAGTTTATTTCTCACTTTTGTTGCCTTATGGTTCCAAGCAATGTCGCCAAACTTTGTATTTTATTATTATCTCATAACACTTGTTCAATAAGCTACCATTTCTCCTGTGGACTTTCTAATGTCTACAGTCTCCGATCAGCACAGCCCTGCCCTCCAGCACTATCAGCAGCAGCAGGAACAACATTGTACACATCAGGTAACACATAGACTACGTTTGCTTTGCATTGCCTCGCCTCTGTCAGTGCGCCCCAGGGTGGCTGTGGCTACAATGTAGCTTGCCATCACCAGTGTGTGAATGGGTGGATGACTGGATATGTAAAGCACTTTGGGGTCCTTAGGGACTAGTAAAGCGCTATATAAATACAGGCCATTTACAGGCCATTTACCATTGTCCCTACCTGATGACACTAATATAGTATGATATGATCCCATATTGGATTCTTGGACAATTTACAGTATATAGGTACACTTCTCAATCAACACGACAAATACTAGAACTACTGATAGCTGAATAAAAGGGGGAAAAAGTCATATCTCACAGAATCCCACAGAAAATAAAAAGCAATATCACAACTGAATGAGAAACATGCCTGATTAGCTACATCAGAATTGTTTAAAATAGCCAGTGCTGGTGCTTAGCTTAGGAACAGATGGTGCAGCTGCTGTGATGATTTATTATAGGGGTAGCCACAATCCAAAGCTCAGTCATTCCAAAGTAATTTGTCAGTGAGACAGGATGACATCTGTGAAGGGTAGGGTCTTTTTTCTTTAAAACAAACTAAGTTTTTTTTTCAGAATCAGAATCAGAATCAGAATGGGGTTTATTGCCAAATGTTGAGCAGGTTTACAACATTAGGAAATTGCTGCGGTGCTTCAGTGCAAACATAGTGTCATAACTAGCACTTAAATAGACATGAAAAAAAATAAAAGTAGGCATAAGAATTAAAAGTGCTACGTGGAAAGATATGTGCATGAGTGCAGGTGGTGATCAGTGCCAAACATGGAATGATGCAGTGAACACAGCGTGGGTCATGTGTTAGTGGTGGGAACAGTCATATGGTTATTGTTCATGTGTCCAACAGCAGAGGGGAAGAAACTGTTCTTATGGCGAGAAATTGTGAAACAAAATATTTGATTAACAAAAAATACAAAAGGACAATAAAGTTTATGGTGGCTAAACCTAGTGGGTTTAAGTGAAAGTAAAAAGCAAGTAAAGAAGAGAATTTCAATAGAAAACAATTCCCACAGGAAACAAACCAGGATGTGTTTGGCAGTTAACTGGTGGTGTTATGTTTAAGTAGCATGGGTGCAAAACACAGTTATGCTGCTCTTTGATCACACAGTGAATGAGGCTTGTAGAAAAGGGACAGAACTTGACACTGAGAACAATGTGAATAGTCTGTCAGTAGACGATCCACACCACTGCCGCCTGCCAGATTGTGTATATTATGTATTTGTATGAATTCTAGCTGTGCCAGCTGGTTTAGAATTTCACAGTTTACGAGCATCCTGTGTCGAATCTGTACAAATACAGTGACCATTAGAAATAAGTGAGCATCTGAAGGTACCCATTTATTTTATATTTATTTTGTGACTGGAAACATGATGTCATTTATTTAAAAAAAAAAACTAAGAGGGTTTTTTTTTTAAAGCAATACTACTGCTAAGGAATATCTTTCTCATATGATAAATGAAATGAACTGAATTCTGGTGAGAACATCAAAAATACTTTAGGATTAAGACGTAGTGCATTGTAATGATGTGTATATTTGAATAAATACACCTAAATATTGTTTGAACATATTTAGATAAATTCCTGTGTTTTCAGAGCTTTAAATTTTCCAAATTTCATCAAAACACAGTTAATACAGTTGCTTTGAGTGTACCTCCCTTACTCCTGGGTACTACTTTATCTGCTAAACAGCAGCTACCTGACTGTAGCTGTTTCTTTGGGTTTTTTTTTTTTTTTAAATAAACAGACATTAGTGATTTATGTGATACCAACCTGTACCACTGTGTGCCAGTCAAATCCGCATTTAACCAGGTAGGTCACAGCCTCTTGAAGAAACCTGAGGTGCTGAAAAGATATTGCAAAAGTTAACAGAACAGCAGCACTTGATGGTACAGATTACTTTAATATTCCAGTCTATTATTTAAAAAGCACATTTAAAACTAAATGTACATATAGAAAATATTAAAAGCAGTTTTTCATCAGTCTAACATCAGAGGAAGGGGAACAAACTTGCTGCCAATCAAAAAAGAAACACACACACACACACACACACACACACACACACACACTGCTAAGGTATCTTTTATTCTCTGCTTTATTGTATACTTTACATTCAAATCGACATAAAAGAACCAGACTAATACTTAAGATAAACGCTTATCTTAAGTACATAAAGACTAGTACATAAGGAATGTTAATTCCTTATGTACTAGTGCAACTTTGCTGCTTGCTCCACTTTTACTTCATCCCGAGAGAGCAGCTTAAGCTATCAAATCAACACTGACATAATGCTTTTAAAGTAGTGAGACTCGACCATATTTACCTCGTTAATGTATCTCAAAACTTTAATGTGAGGAATCATTTTTTCCTACAACACACTTGTTTCAAAACTTTGAGTATAATTTTGATATAAAATATTGTGAGCTGGAAACCAAGAGACAAACACTTTTTTTCCTCAGGGTGGTTAGTTTTATTTCAAACTAACAACACTCCCTTTAGCTGTAAATAAATATAGTATACACTTCATGTAAAACACTTTTTTTAGCACTGATACTGTAAGCATGTTGGTCTGCTAAAGAAAGTATGTAATACAAACGCATTCATTCAAAAGATAATATGTTTAAAATGAGATCTACACCAACAGGTAACAGCCAGTGTGTAGACTTAACCTGGGCTGCGGTAAACTGCAGGTAAACTAGCAAATTAACAATGTGGCTTATGTGTAAGTACAAGAAAGAAGATCTGCTATCAACCACCTGCCTGCTTCCTGGCTGTTCGGCTACTAGTCTATTCTGTTGTTTACCACACTGTCAAACTCAATGCTAACATTATTTTCCCAGTCCTGTGTGACAAATATGTGGTTTTAGAACTCATGTTTCATTATGATGAGTCATATAAATAACTCACATTACATATAATATTTTATATGTAGCATAAAAACTGTTAGGCCACTTAGTGAAGACAGGAGCTCCACGCCCTTTTCCCACAACTTGGGCACTATTCCAGAGTCAGGAGAGCTTATTTTTGACATTTTATGACAGTATTGAAAGTATCCATATAGATGTGTTGGCTAAAAGTGTAGCTATTTTGTAATCAAGCAGTTGAGGGTGTAAAATAAAAGTGAAATGAAAATTATCTATGGATGTTCATTTTCCTTAAATGAACCAAATTTTTATTTATTTAACTTAATCTGTCAAGAAATCACGCACTTCTTAAAAAACCATTTTTCATCACTTTAAAAACTGTATGTGTCACTAAAATAAGCATATATACATATTCATACTTAAGGTTATGTTTATAAAACAAGGTTACTAACAGAATAGTGAGCACATGTTTTCTTGTCTTATCCTCTCTGCAGGATCAACTGATCACTTCAAGAGGGCAACTTTTTTTGACCTTGTGTTTGTCTGTTAAAGATAATGAACTGGTTCCTATACAGCACATTTCTGCTCTATTGGAGCACTCAAAGCACTTGTCTTATTTACCCATTCACAAAAGCACTATTTCTCTGCTCTTTCTACCTAACATTCACACTCCAACAGGTGCAGAGTGTCAGAGAGGGCGGAGTTAGTATCTTATCCCAGGATAGTTGGCATGCAGGCTGAAGCAGACTAAGGTTGAACCGCCATCCTTGTAATTACTAGGTAACCTGCGCTACCACCTGAGCTACAGCCTTCTCCACAGTGCTCAGGCTTCAACTGATGTCTAGCCTTCCTGAAGTTGTTTAGCAGGCATTCATTTTCTAATCTAGTGAAACTTCTTTCTATGGTAGCTGACAAAACAATACAGAGGAACGGGTGTGAAGTTCAACAGCAGGGTAGAGGGGATCATTGAAGGTTGTTTTGAAGGTGTGGAGGTGAATGTGGCTACCAGAAAAAACTCTGTAAAAGGACAAAGTGCCAGCTTCCCAATCCAGATACACCCCAACCCGACTGCAGCGCAAACACTGAGATGATACACAGACCTTCTCTTTGTTGTGCTGAACAAAACAACCATCATCAGAGCAAATCAGACACCAAGACTTGTTGTTTTGTCCCAGCTTGCAGTCATCCACATCTCCGTTCCTGCCAATGCTTCTGTATGTTAACCCAACACATAAGGGCTCTGACACCTCCATCTCCAGGTAGCAGCGCTCTTTTAGTCCCTGCTCACACAGCACTTGCTGACAGCAATCAAACCTCTCTTTATGATCAGGATAAGCCTGCTCCTCCTCCACCCAGGTCACTTTTCTGTTCCCTTCAGAGAGCAGCAGGTTCTTGTGAGCTGTGTTGGAGTCCAAAGTGAGCGCACAGGCATCTGGAGGTAAGAAAACACTTATATAGTCAGTAAAGACTTTAATAGTATACCGTTTGTCCACCACTGGCAGTATGAAGTACAGAGCTGTTGGGCAGTAATTTTAAAAAAAAATCCATCAAAAGAAAGTTGTTCCTGAGTTAAAAGTCAACATTCTTCTCAAAATAACATTTCTGAATACATGATTGATGTTTATTTTTCCTCTTAAAGGCAGAACCATGACAGGAATGTTTAAAATCCATTACAATGAAGTTAATGTACATGGAATTGAGCTTAAAAAGAAACAATGTATTTCTACGATTCTTAATTTTTCATTGCTGTCCTTCAATATCCAGTATTTTTACATGTACCATTAGATCTAATAAGTCTAAATCCTTTCTCACAGAAAACACTATGTAAACTGATGGTGATTGTTTGTGGTGGTGTGTGGTAGAGACTGAGGGAGGCTCCTCGCTGGAAGCTCAGGTGAAACACAGAAAGCTGCTTTAAAACAAAAGTTCTGCCACATTAACCTGAAATGAGCATGTCGTAATTAAGTCCTGTAGCATCTTAATGCCTCTAGAATTCAGGCATTGAAACATTCAACAGATTCCTGTAGATACTCACATTTCTTCAATCCTGGGTGTATCCGGTGACTTCCACCATGTTCAAAACTGTGGAGGAAATTGAGTTTAAGAAATAGAAATGGAACTATTAATTAGTAATATATGCATCTATTCTGTTCACCACCCAACATCCAATATTGGTCTCTTGCTGGCCAAGAAAAAAGAGTGATGATAAAGCTGAGTGCATGCTGACCCCAGCAGCCGGAGTCTGATCTTCACCAGGTAACAGAGGTGATGATTATTCAGGATTGCAGCATTTTAGCTTTAAAATGGCTTTACAGGTTGATGTATTAAATTTACTGTAGTCCAAGCTTTGCTTTGTGTTGTACTCACTAAAAGAAAGACAGTGTAGGGATTTGTTTGGTAGTAATGTAATAAGAGGTGTAACAAATTACCTTCTTCAGTGGGTGATTAAGTAAAATACTCCATTACGTTTAAGAAAAGTATGTTACTTTTTGAGTAACAACCAGGGTACTTGACTTGTTAGGAAACAGAAAATTACTCTGTATCACTCTACGAGTATTCACAGCATGAAACCACAGTAAAAAGGTGGCTGTGCTCTAATCTTTAGGAGGTGAAAAAGCAAAAACTAAAGTTTAAAACACTTTAGATTAAGATCAGATCTGTCAGGGTCCTGGGTCTCCTGACCCAGCGTTTTAGTTCTTTGTGATTTTTGTATTATTGTACTTGGTGTGAGTTTCTATGGTTTCTAGTTTCGATCCCTTGCCCTTCATGTTGCTCTGTGTCCCCTCTGTTCTGTGTAAGTCTGTGTCTGCATGTTTGAGTTCCCCTCTGTGTCTCTCGGTTCTTAGAGTCCTCTGCCTTATGGTTTATGTCTCTGTGTCTCCTAGTTGCTGTCTCCACTGTGTCAAGTTCGCGTCTCTGTGTGATCCTTCCTGTTTTACTTTGAAGGTCCGTGTCTTATGTGAATGTGTCCTGCTTTGCTTGTCTCATCAGTTCTAATTTCCCCCAGCTGTGCTCTCCTTCTGTGTCTCATTCTCCTCGTTACTTCCCAGTGTATTTAGTCCCTGTGTTTCTCTGAGTCAGTGTTGCGTCGTACCCTCAACAAGCTGTGTGTGTTTTGCCTCCGTGTTGCCAGTGTTTTGTTTCCAGTTCCAGTTCAGTGTTTTGTTTCCAGTTCAGTGTTTTGTTTCCAGTTCAGTGTGTTCTGCTTCAGTGTTTTAGTCCACCAGCGTTTTTGATTGTCTTTTGATGCCTTTAGTTAGTAAGAGGGTTTCCAGCAATAAAGCTGCGCTTTAAGTTGAACTTCTGTGTCTGAGTCCTGCATTTTGGATCCACCACTCCTGCTTGCCTGCCTGCCACACAGCCAACCATGACAGAACGACGCAACCATCAAATGGATCCTGCGGACTCACGGTCTCAGTATCTCGCGCAGTTGTGGAATTACTGCCGGGAGGTAATCCACGCTGAGGACACCCCCAAGAGACTCCTTCAGGTGGTCTTTTTTTGACAACTTTTTGTCATCCACCCTCTGCACAGCTGTTTTTTTGGACATTAACAGATTAAAACAACTAATAACAGCTCTGAGGGCTAGGATTTGCTTCGAACTGTTTGGCATGGGCGGTCCAGGCAAGGAAGGGTCAGCTACCCTCCTGGAAGCCCTCGCTGCCTGGTATTCTCAGCATCCTTTCCCATCAAGATTTATCACTAAATCATTCGATCCTCCCTTAAGAGAGGGACTGCATCCTCGTTGCCTTCACCCCAGTACACCAGTGTTACCTGTGTCTCCAGTAGCTCAGCTCCCAGTGTCGCCTGCTCAGCAGCCACTCTCGGCTCAGGCTCCTGTGTCGCCTCTGTGTCGGCCAGTGGCCTCCATGACGGCTGGCCTAGTGATCTCTTCTGCTGGAGGGTCCGAGGGACCGCTCCGGCCTTCGTCTCTTGTTTCCGCTGGAGGGTCCGAGGGACCGCTCCGGCCTTCGTCTCTTGTTTCCACTGGGGGGCCCGAGGAGCCCGTCCAGCCAGCTGCCTCGTCAGCTGGGGGGCCCGAGGAGCCCGTCCAGCCAGCTGCCTCGTCAGCTGGGGAGCCCGTCCAGCCAGCTGCAGCCTCATCACCATCCTCGCCTGGCGCAGCCTCAGGGTCCTCCGCATCGCCTGGCCCAGCTTCTGCCTATGCTTCGCCTGGTCCGGCCCCGTCATCGCCTGGTCCGTCTGTTCCTGCCTCGTCTGGTCCTGTGCCCACCGGGCCTCAGCCAGTACGCTTGACACTGGAGCGCCGCCGTTGGCTTCCGCACGGCCGGCCCCCTGACCTGTTTGGCCTCCTGTGCTGCCGGCCCCCTGAATTGTTCTTTTTTTTTTTTGGGCTCGTGTTTTGTTTTGGGGCTTTCTTGTGCTTTAGTGTTTTTTGTTTCATTTTTAGTTTGTTCAAGGGCTACAAAAGGGAAATAAACTTATTCTCAATCGTTAACAGGAAATAGAAAGCATTTTGGGATGAAGACTAACAGAACATTTTGAGCTGGCTCTCATCCATTAAAAAACTTGTCAAACAGCTTCCTGGGGTGTTTCCATGCTTGCTTTGAGCTTGGGGACCATTTTCCAAACAGTGGATGATAAAGGAAAACATTACATGACTTGGCTGAGCCGGTATTGTGGATCATTCCTCAGCTCAGAGAGCTTCTTCTCTCCATATTCTCCTGGATGGTTGTAACTCAGGTCCAACTCTTTCAGATGTGAGGGGTTTAACTTCAGAGCTTTGACCAAATAATCACAACCTTGTTCTGTCACCAGACACCCAGATAACCTGAGAAAAGAATAGTTTGATACATATAAATGCAGGTTTTAGAAGATTTAGAAATCCATCAGCAGGACTACATCTGTTGCATCGCTGAAAGAATAAATGGCTGCAGGAATGAGTATTTACAGGGCAGATGCTATGAAGAACAAGACCTGTGCTAAAAGAACTTCTGCCAGGTGATATCTGTTTCACTTTGTAGGAGGTTGGATGGGTTGTCTATGTTTATATTATGATACATAAACATGTAATGTACCTCAGAGTTTCCAGTCTGCAGCACTGACTCGACAGTCCTTTAGAGAGCAGCTCCACTCCTGAATCTTTCAGGTCATTGTTGCTCAGGTCCAGATCTCGTAGAGGTGAGAAGGGGTATTTAAGAGCAGCAACCAGATGATCAACCCACTCTTCACTTACTTTACAGTCTGCTAGTCTATGGAGGGTGATGGGTGTTTATTAATTTTTATAGAAACAGATAGATGTAAAGAAAAGGCATGTTTAAAGATACTTAATGGCCAACCATGTGATTGCCATTTGTAATACAGAGGACTTGTCCCCTCTCCTTCCTCTTTTGCATTCTGGCTAATAGTCCAGTTCGCTGAGATTATTTAAGGGTGAAGAGTTTATCTCACAAACAAGAGTGAAAAAAAACTTACAAGGCCTTTTTGCTGCTCCTCACTGCTGGTATCAGCCTCCGTCTGCCCTCATCTGATGTGTTGTAACTCTTTAAGTCCAAGACCTCCAGATCATTCTTTGATGCCTGCAGCATGTAGGCCAGTGCAGAGCAGTGCAGGGGAGTCAACTCTGTTTTTGAATGATCTGACAGTGCGAGATATTCCTGAATCTCATCTTTGACTTTGTGATCTCTCATCTCGACCATAGTCTGGAAAAGGTTGATGCAGCTGTCTGGAGAGAGGTTCTTCCTTCGCACAGATTTGATGTGAGTCAACATTTTCTTGTCAGTATCTTGGCTTCGATCTGTTGGAGTCAGCAGACCATGAAGGACTCTGTGATTGGGTTCAACCGTGAGGCCAAGGAGGAATCTCAGGAAGAAGTCCAGGTGGCCATTTTTCTTCTCCAGCACTTTTTCTACTGTTATTTTAAGAAGTTCAATTAAAGTATGCTCCTTGCCCTTTAAATCAAAGAAGATGCTGAGATCTTTAGTATCATTGTTAATGAAACAGTCATAGATGTAGAGAGCTGCAAAGAACTCCTGCACAGTCAGATGCACAAAGAAGAAGACATTTTTCTGGAAAATTATTTTTTCTTCCCGAAGAACTGTGGTGCAAAATCCAGAGTCAATGGATGCTGCTTTAACATCAATGCCACAGGCCTCCAGATCTTCCTCATAGAAGATAAGATTTTTCTTCAGCAGCTGCTCAAATGCAAGTTTGCCGAGTTTCAGAAGAAATTTCCTCTGTGTTTTCAGAAGCTTCACTTTGTTTGTCTCAACGTCCTTGTCATATTTTCTACTTCTGTGTTTTGTTTGGACACAAAGAAAGTGTGCCATCATTTCTGTAAGAGTTTGAGGAATTTCAGTTTTCTCATCTCCTCCAAAGACTTCCTGGAATAACACTGCAGGGATCTGACACATGCTGTCGAGACTCTGTGAAGACTGAATATGTTTAATGATCCTGTCAGCAAGATCTGGATCATGATTAAATCTCCTCCTGAAGTATTCAGCTTTTTGAGGATCATTGAAACCTCTTATCTCTGTCACCATGTCAACATGTTCTGCAGGGATCTGATTGGCTGCTGCTGGACGGGAAGTAATCCAGAGGTTTGCATCAGGAAGAAGGTTACCCTGGATGATGTTTGCTAGGAGATTACTCACAGGTGTTACTTCCTTAACAGATGTTATAGTCTTGAAGCCTTCAAAGTCCAGCTGAAACCTGCTTTCATCCAGACCGTCCAGGATCAGAACAATCTTGGTTTTGGTATAATCCACTGAATCTTTGAGTTCTGACAGTGTGGGGTGAAATAAAGTTAGGAGCTCATGTAGGCTTTTTTCACCTGAAATCAAATTCAGCTCTCTGAAAGCAAGACTGAAAACAAAGTCTACATCCTGGTTTGCCTTCTCTTCGGCCCAGTCAAGAATCAATTTCTGCACAGAAAATGATTTTCCAATTCCTGCGACGCCCTTCGTCACAACTGTTCTGTGAGGTTTGTCTTGATCAGGCAACGGTCTGAAGATGTCACTCAGACTGACTGATGAACACGTTTCCAGTTTACTTGTGCCATATCTGAACTCATGCTCTGTACGAGGCCCTTCACTCTCCCCAGTGGTGATGTAGAGCTCTGTATAGATGTTGTTCAAAGGACTCGGCTTGTCACCGTTACCTTCAGACACCAAAAAAAAATTTTTTTGCATGGCTTCTTTCCATGTCTTCTTTGCCTCAAACAGTTTGATGTCATCTGTAACAATGAAATGCAAGATGAACAAGCCCAAAATTACATTGTTAATACCAAATGATTTCATTTTTTTAAATGGGAAAAATGCAAAATGACAAAGAGAACAAATCTTGAAATTAAAGTTTTCATTGGTTTAATTGTTTAAATTTTGGGTAAGATGAAAAAAAATTTTAAATCCAGAAAATTCACCAATTACAAAGAACCCTACACACCTAAAAAACTGTGTATAAAAGAGATGTTTTATTAACAAGAAAATCCCAAATATTCAAACATTCAAAATAAACTCAAACTCATTTTACATCTAAAACTTTTCTCATAGTAGTTCTACAAATTCTTAATACTTACCATTGTCATCTTTAGTATCTTTCAGGTTTTTCAATGTTATTCTGGATTTCTTTCCACACTGTGGACAGGAGTCCTCTGCTGGTGAATCAGACTGATCTGAAGTGACACACTGTTTGCAGGACTCATGTCCACACATGAACTGGACTGGATCCTTTAAAACCTCCTTGCACACTGGACAGCTGGATTAGATGGGAGATGAAGAAAACATTTCGTTATTATTGTGCATCACACACAGTGATATGAATGTATCTGAGGCAGCATTTGATCTACAAACAAAGAAATTATTCTCCTGTATTCAGAAACCTGTTGGTCTGGAGATTTATATCTATATTGCTATGGAAAATAAACAGCCTTAAAACATCACCTTCATACACCATCAACACCACATGATGCAGAATTCATAATTGAATTTGTGACTGTTGGAAAACATTGATCTATTTTCTGCATGAAAGCTCATTGTGTCATATGCTGTGGGAGTGTCTGGTCGGGCGTGGTCCAGGTTCCTGTCGTCCGTCCCTTGGGGTGGAGTTGGCCAGCTCATCACCTGCTTTCAATCTCCGGGGCTCCACCTAGAGGGTTTTTAAGCCAGCACTGCCTGCCACTCCTCGCCAGTTCGTCCTGCTACCATCTGTGATTCACCACCCGTCGCACTCACTAGTAATGCTGGTTCTGTTTCCGTCCTGTTTTCCCGTCTGCTCGGAACCTGAGGACCCCAGACTCAACTTCTCCTCAGCCTGCCCTTCAGTCCGTACTTTCCACCTCCCTGGACACCTTGGAACCTGGACCGGACTCTCCACACTCTCGACCATCTCTGGAATGCTCTCACAGTAGCCCTTTCCCCGCCTAAGAACCGGGGTTTCCAAGTAAGCCCAAGACTATCCACTGGCACTATGTACCTCTGCCCCTTTCTCGTTTTTTTTCATTCAGTAAAACCCTTCTCCTGTGTTTACAGAAGTTCCCGTTCGAGTTCTCCCTGTGCTCTACGCCCGTTTCTCCGCCATCGGACCTCCCTCAGTTTATGCGAATGGTTTCTGTTAAACCTCGTCTTGTTTACGTTTATTTTTCCTTTCAATAAATTATACATAGTTCAAGCAATCCTTGCTTGCATCCTTGTTTGTGACACATTGTTGTTACTAGATCAAGGTTTTTCTTTGAAAAAGCTATCTATTGTGTGCCAATATCTATTGAGGCCACATAACTGTTTCCCAATTAATCTGTTCTACGACATTATTCCAAAAAGCCTGCCTTTGTGTTCACGAGCAAACTAGATTTAGTGTAATGTTTCTGTATGAAAGCAAAGGGTTTTCCTGGTAAAATCCCATGCAGCTAAAACGTGCTGAACAGCTGCACTTAACAACACAGACAGTTGAAGAGCACATTGTCTCGTCAAATTTGGGGCCCTTGAAGATTTATTTTTGCATCAGATACACTATTGTTAGGCTAAATTTAATGAAGCATTAAGCATTACTCCACCAACGTGACTGTGAGTACTCTGAAATCTAATCCAGTTTTGTATTATGCTTCTTAAGGTGAAATGATTATAACTTTTTCAAGGAATCAAAATCTGAATCGTAGCATGAGCGAATCACTCAGGACTCACTCACCCCCTCCCTCCTGGCTCACAGCTTCTTCTTCTTGGTTGGCAACTAATGTTAAGGCGCATTACCGCCCCCTGGCTCACAGCTCAGTGGACATTTACATGAGAAAATATATTTGACACCATTTGAAGAAAATACTAATAAAATAAAATAAAAATAAATAAAATAAATGTTCCCTTTAGAATTTTTCCCTCGTTTTTCCTCCATGAAAAGAGAAACAAATTAGGTTTGAGTGAAAATGTACATTTTTTGCACTCTCTGGGCAACTGACTAAGTGACTCAAATGACACAAAAACCCGATTCAATTTGGTGAGTGACTCATTCAAACTCGATTCAGTAAAAAGAATCAAATTTACCATCACTATGATGCTCATACACAACTTTGTGATCTGTAGTGAGAGTAGGGAAGAAGTGGGAAGGAACCAGGAGAGGTGGAGGTACGCTAATCCTCTGACTATTAGTGCTAAAAGTCTACTCCTCAGTATTATACTTTGGATGGGAACATGTTCAGTGCGGTGCTGAGAGGTGTGTCGGAGGTCTAACGTATTTACTTGCATTCCTTTGTGAGTTAAAACTGTGTGCGTGGTTACCACGTGAGTATTGTAAGATAAGAATGATGTTTGTTTAACTTTATCTGTGTTATTTGCTAAGTAGCTAGTCCCATTACTATCGCTAAGATGCAGGAGAAAAATCATTTGTGGTCTTAGGGTGCCATCTAGTGGCTATGTCATTATAATTTAGATTGTATAACATTACGCTGAAAACCCACAGTATTGTATAAGCAGTATAGTGTTTTACATAGTGGTTAATACACAAATTAATTCTTTCTGTTTACAGATGACCACACACACACACTCACACCCCATTTACCTGCATGTAAATATATTGTAATTCAATCACATCCTGTTTATGCCATCTGCCTTCTCCTTCATTAAACTTATTTGAACTACATCAATGTGGAGTACCATTCCTTCTGGCCGAGGACGACTCAGTTGAAGCGTGATCGGCAATCAGTGCAATCATATATTACAATTAGCATACCTGGAGAGAAGAGGAATGATAGTCAGTAGAAACAAGATAGAACAGGTGAGAAAGAGAGGAAGACATGTGGGAGGGTAAACATGCAGAGATAGTGAAAGTGAAAGTTTAAATACCTGGGGTCAACCATCCAAAGCAATAGGCAGTGCACAGGAGATCTGAAGCATAAAGTGCAGGCACGGTGGAGCAGGTGGAGATGAGTGTCATGGGTAATTTGTGATAGAAGGCTAACAGTAAGAGTAAAAGGGAAGGTTTACAAGATGGCAGTAAGAACTGTTACAGTGTATGGTTTAGAGTCGGTGACTGAAAAAGAAACAGGAGGCCGAGTTGAAATTTTTCATTGACAGTGAGCAGAATGGACAATATCAGACATGCATACATCAGAGGGACAGCTCAGGTTTGGAGACAAAGTTAGAGGTAAGGCTGAGATTGTTTGGACATGTGCAGAGAGAGGATGGTAGATTTACTTGACAAAGGACTCTAACATAGAGCTGCCAAGCAGGAGGAAAAGAGGAAGACCTCATGACCATGGATGTAGTGAAGAATGACACGCAGAGGATTGTTGTAAAAAGGGAGCATGCTGGGAGCTTTATGTGACTCCTAAAGAAGATGAACACAGCCTATATAGGTGCTGTTTTTAAGAGGATCAAATGTTTGCTTTTTCAGATGGGTTTGAAAACTCAATGTGAAAACATGTCTTGGTGGAGTGTACACTTTGTTTCCATGCATGCTATGATTTGGGTAACTGGGTAAATATTGGGATCAAATTGAAAATTGAACTGAATAAAATTGCCATGCAAAAATGCAGAAAAATCAACATGCCACATGTGAAACTGCAGGTCAGTCAAATCAGTCTGTCACTTAATCTTTAATGTGCTACATTTATTCCTTTGGGGGAGAAAAACTTTACCTTTGTGTCTTTCCAAAATTAGCTGGTGTGTACATGGATCCTTCACTCTTCATGGAGACAACACTGGGAACTCTGGACTCAGTTCCACTAAAAACGGAGATATTTGTATTTATTCTACAAAAAAGAAACCATCTGTGTTTCTATTGTATTTGTTTACAGGAAAAGTGAAAGAAGAATAACTAACAAATTAATGGAAAACATTTTAAAGTACAAAATAAGGATTACCCCTGATGTTGCTTGTCACCAAAATTAGCTGGCTGGTACATGGATCCATCACTCTTCATAGACACAGAGCTGGGACCGGGAGAGTCATCTCTATTCTTCTGTGAACTGTTCAGAACAGGATATGAATCTTTTTTTTTTCTTTAAAAAAATAGCAGTGAACCTTGATCCATGATGGACCTCTGAGCTAAATGCTAATAGGATGGCAGAAAAGGAATGTGAAGGCAGGTGACAAATGAAAGGAAAAACAACAATATGTTGGTGCGCTGGTTACATGAAGTGCATCAAGTGTCTTGTGAACTTTACGTGAGGGTGAACTCCATTCTCCTAAAAGATTTCCCTCTCACCTGATCAAGAAGCCCCAAACTTTTCCACAGCTGCTCAGCTGTTTGAGATCAGGCAAACATGTTAGACCAGAGTAACATCATTTTCATCCTCATCAGGTTATTCAGTGAGACCTCGTGTCATGCTCTATCCCTCAGAACAACTCCTTAATAATTTATAGACTCTTCCCTCTAAGGGGGTCCAAATCCTGCCAGCATAACATAGCCACTTTTTCCTTTAATATGTCACCTATCTGTAAGTATTAAACAAAGAGAGCTCTGTGTAGATAATAAACTGTAACCACACTGCACTAAAAACCGTTTTCCAATGTAGAGTTTCTTTATTTATGATCGGACATACCTGACTAGCAGCCCACTGCGGGAGCTGATTGGCTGTTTGGAGAGTGAGGGGGCGGAGTCAGCTTGTTTTCTCTTTCTTGTCTCAGACATTTCTGCAGCTGAAACACAACTAACAGGAAAAAAAAACAGAGAATAGTTTGTAAATGATAAAAATCCAGCTGTACAGACTTCATACAGTTTATTGGCAATTCCAGTGTTAAAGATCCTTCTTCCTGAACCTGAATTGAGATGAGCTGCAGTGACAGCTGGCAGCCTGTAGGTGGCAGCAAGATCTCATCATTATTTACTCTCCTAGACACTAAATGCACTTTTTAAATATTCAATAAAGTTACTCTTTGTTTACAGACCTAATATTTTTGGTAATCACTGCACTGTCAGGTAAGATTTAAGATTATCTAGATTACTAGTAAATCACCAGCAGCAGTGGGTGAGTAAAGTGAAGTGGTGCGCCCCTGGACCTGTATCTATTATCAGCACTGGAGCTGTGAGTACAATCAGAACTGTGAAAACTAAATTGATGAGCGTGTTTGCCACTAAATTTGCCCGGGATGTAGATGCAGAAACTCTTGCTCCGTTAAGGTCTTTTGTTTACACGGATGATCAATGACAGCGTGAAGGTGAAGCAGGTATTAAAAAACAAGTTAGAGTATCTATTTCAATCATACTATGAGGCAAGTCAAATCGAAAATGGAAGTAAAAGAATAACAATGCGAATTTGACTCGGTTTTATAACGTTACTGGAGTGTTTACAGGGTTAAACGTGGACATATGGTCGCTCCTAAATAGTAAATTAATTATAATAATTATAATAAAGTAATTATAAAAAGAATCAGTTTGAGTTCGTTTACGCTGAGTCGCTGTAAACTGTGAAATCTGCTGCTGCGATGATCCTTCTTATGTGCGCAGTTACTGCAGTAAAACAAGATGTCGGCTGATTAAAAAAAACACGCATCGCTCTGCCCGACAAAAGTCGACATAAAGCAGGAAGATAGGCGGTGACTTACTTTCACGCCATAAGAGTTTTGAAGTCTTTCTTATAACTCAATCAGTTATTGTGAAGGTTTCCTGACTCGCTGCTGCACTAAAGAATGGCACAAACAGGAAACTCTGTGTGTGTGTGTGTGTGTGTGTGAGCGTGTAGGGCTTGCTATTGTTGTTGTTGTTGTTGCATTTCTTTAGTTTCACTTTCGTTTCAATGCTATGCGCCTTTTTTGTCTATCGGATCTGTTGCTGATTGGACTGGATCGTTAGAGTCACATTAAAAAAATATACTTTTGATCATTTTGAGAAAAAAGTTGAAATTTTATTTGTTGTTTCAGGACAAACTGCCACAGCTACTTATCTGTCTACAAAATACCTTGTTTAGATGAATTAGTGAAAACTTACTTCATAATCAGTTTTTGTAACAAAGAAAAAAAAATTAAAAAAAAAAAATTACAAAAAAAATTACAAATATTAAAAAAACATATTTATAATATAATAATATAATATTTATTTTATTTATAATATTTCTCTTTTAACACATATTATGTGTTGATCAGGATAAAGACATTGAAAAGAAAAACTGGTGCATCTTGAAAGAGTGGATTTGTAGAAAATTAAATGTCTGGTAATGGACAGATGCAAGTTTATCAATAATGACGATGGTTAAACCCTAAGGCAATAAAGAGGGTGATGATAAAGTGGCAAGAGAAGAGTTATTTAAACATTTTATATTTTCAAAAGCATCTTTTTTTTCCCTTCAGGCTTTTAGCCGAGTCATCATGAAGTGTTCACTGGAGCCTTTTGTGGCTGGTATCTGGAATTGGTTGGATTATAGGAACTCGATAAGTAAGTATTAAATCTGGTTCTTGTCATTCTTTCACTGAATAGAGAGAACACGACTCAGTTGGTCAAAACATTTATAATTATTTATTCAGTCATCTTCTGGAAGAGAGAGACATGTATGGGCTCAAAATGCTTTTTTACGTACACAAATCTTTTTTACACATACAAAACTGATTTACAAGTACAAAATATTTATGACCACATTTTGAGCCCATAGGACATGCACAGCCCAAAGCCAGTTGCAAATCTCTAGCATTAGAAACCAAAAATGTGTATCATATAGGTGTTATTTTGGTCCTTTACACGTCACACATAGATTCAATAAAAATAACTCATTCTGAGCTAACTTGATGTGTGTGTGTGTTACTTAGTTCTGCTTTTTCTCCCTGTACATGACTGAATTAACTGAAGTAAACTGAAGCTAATGACAAATCAAAGGTGCATCTATGTTCCTTACCTAATGTGTGGTTTCTACACAGCAAATTCAAAAGTGTTAAATGTTTTGGTGTTAATAGTCTTCTTGCAAAAGTAGAGTTAATTTTACTCTAAGCAGAGTCACATTCTTTTAATGTAACTCTGAGGTGTAAAATGATAGTAGTTAAAATCGAGTGTTAAAAATGAGTGTTTCTCTGTCAAATCTGGAGGTGTTACAATGGAAACATTAACTCTTGACCTCTTAACTCTGAACTCCTACAGGGGCTATGACACCAACAGAGTAAATTCACAGACTCCGCCCCCAGCACGGCTCCAATCAAAGCTGAAGTGAAGCCGTTTCAGAACATTTTGCTCTACATATTTGAGTTGTTTGCCATGCTTGGTAAGTCATTTTTTCAAAGATTGTTTCAATTATTATTATGAGCTTTTACTTCTGTGGCTCTTTGGAGTTGAGACAAAGCTGTGTGAAAGGCATTAGCCATGTTGCTCGGGGATAGCATAATTAGGGTTGCCAACTCCCTGAAAAATAAATAAGGGACACCTCGTGGCCAGGGCCGGGCGACCCAGTTGTCTTCACCCTTCCCAGTGTGGTGAATTTTCTAGCTCTTTTTTTGTGTGTGAAATTATTTTTTTAACCATTTGACTTGAAGTTGATTTAAGTAGATGCATATTCTATTCTTTGTGATATGAACACATGTGAAACAAATGATCATTTAGCCATTTATTTTTAGCTCGAAATGACAACATTAACACAGTAAAACAGGTCTCTTTCTTAAACAGAAGCCTGTCATGCTTAACTTTTGAGAATATAAGTAAATCTTTCTTTAAAAGAACTCTGTCCTGCTTAACTTAAAATAATAGAAAACAATAGAAAGAAAAATATTCTTGTAACAGTGCACATTTAGTGCATTTAGTACAATTGGCTTCAGCTGAGGTATTATTTCAGCTTTTCTAATGCTAATCAGCTGCTCCTGTTTGTAAACCCGCTTGTTCCCATGATTACGCATCATAACTCATCATCATTATTCATCTATGTATTACTTTTATGTATTAGTCATCAATTTGTTGTAATCATCTATCCTTGCAGTTGTTTATTACACAAAATAAGTTATATTATCACACTTCTGGCCACATAGCGCTGATATTCACTGCACATGCCCATATTAACTTTTTCCAGCCAGGTGTTTTCCTTTTCCCATTCTTCCCTTTCTCTGATGGGAACAAACATTGCTGCTCTAATGCTGGGCTCACACTGTGCGGTTTTAGGCCCATTTTGAGCCGATTTTTGAGTGATCGGACCGATTTTGGCCTTCATCGTGCATCGTGTAGTATACGTGGGGTAACGAGAAGTGATTAACACCTCACGACCAGTTCCCGATCATCAATCGCTCGTGAGGGTGTCACCACAGGCGCTCACACTGCTCGCGCGCAAACGTAAACGTTGGTGAAAAAGACGGTGCAGCACGGCTGTGCAGCGTGTGATCTGGACACAAGCGATGGAGGCACAACTTGTAGAACTTTGGAAAGCTCATCCGAGCCTTTTCGATGTGGCATCACAAAATTATCACGACCACAACAACCGTGAAAATAGTTGGCTTTACATCGCTGCTCAATCACAGCTGCCTGATCAATGTTTTTCATTAGCAATTTAGCAAAGTTGATGGTGGTGGTGTGTCTGTGTGAGTGAAAGACAGAGAGGGAGAGCGACAGATTTTCTGTTATAACCTTCATTTTATGGAGGCACAGTGTGAGCACTCAGGTCGCATCAGAGCATCGGGCGGTATAGTGTGAGACCCTGCATCGTGACCTACGAACTTCTAACCCCTGCGAGTCAATCGTGCAGTTTGAGCAGGAGCTGAATAACGCGACTGAAAAAATCGCACAGTGTCTGCCCAGCTTTAGGTGTACTGTCGTCCGAGACTTGCACCGCAGAGTCGGCGTTTGTTTCCCTGTAGGCCATGCTTCTTGTTGTGGTCATCTGTTGTCTTCCGGTATTTTCTCCGCAAGCGACCTTTCCTCGACCAATGAGATGAGCGGTAATCTGAATTGTCATACTCGAATTGTCATAAGTGTGCTGTCAGTTCATTGGTCACAAAGCAGGAGAGGGGCTGGGAATTATGCTTTCAAACAAAGCGTTAATTCCATAAACATTTATAGACTACTTTTGATTCTCACTGTATTACGGGACAAAGTGCGTCCCTTATTAGCTCAATACGGGACGTGTACTTTTGTTTCGAAATACAGGACGATTCCGTATTTTAAGGGACGGTTGGCAACCCTAAGCATAATATTCTGTTTTAGCTAGCTGAAAGGTATTGTCTGTGGGCAAATACCACAGCCTTGAAAAAAAGCTTGCATGTGAATTTTCAGTCAAACTTTTGGTCAAATATACCTAAAACAATGTCTAGAATGTGAAATGTTGGTATAATGGTGCTACTTGAAGCCTGAAAACGATCGCCCATAAAAAAAACCAAAACGAGCAAACAGCAGTAGCAGGCGTTCTGACTGGGTTCTACATTAGCATAGATCCCTCCAGAGTTTTGTGCACACGGTTGAGGTAAAAATGAAAAAGGTTGAGGTTTTACATTTAGTTCAGTATTACCTGTTGCCTGTGTCCTTGTCTTTTGGGAAAATACTTTACACAAGTAGTGGCTCAAAGAGGATTCCTTTTTTTTTTTTCTGTGCTGCAATTGTTTACTGGATTATTTGTGCCATTAATTAGTGTCAACTAATTTTTATTCGATCTCCGCACAGGATATGCTTGTGAAGATGGAATATGGGGGAGAGCAGAAGTGCGTTGAAGTTCTACAAAGGGATGAATGAAGGACATGCATATTGTATTGAAGAAATAAGTGATGAGAATGCTGTTATTTGCATTTACTATGTCAGACCTTTTGATAAACTTCTAATGAAAGTGAGAACATGTATACCGTTACATCTTTCAGAAAATGTTTTGAAATTGTGGTGCACAGTTCAGAATAAATGTTTTTCAAAAACCATTGAGTCTTTTTAGTAAATGTTTATTTCCAAAATAAATTTCTAGAAGTTCAGAACAGTAAAATTCCCGCTTTTTAGAATGAATTAGAAGATAACTCTTACGTAGTTAAACTAAAATACTCTTTGAGAGTTAATATATAAACTCTTAACACCAAGTGTTAAACTATCAACTCCAGACAGATTTGGTGTTTAACACTAAATCAGAGTTAACGTACCAACTCTCCAAAAAGAGTTAAATTAACACTCTCTGGTGTGGACCCATATAGACACTTTAATAGTGTTGAAATCAAATCCGACAGTGTTAATTTGGACATGCTGGATTTGCTGTGTATAATCTCAAAAATCAGGAATGTAAAATAACCCAAAACCCTGTAATAACTATAATTAGTTGACTCTTCAAGTCTCTCATTCTGCAATTTTAAATGGTAAATGGCCTGTATTTGTATAGCGCTTTATTTAGTCCTTTAACTTCAACTTCAGCTGTAGCAACCTTCAGCAGTTCATTAACTCCATCTGGTTGAGTAAAATGTCACTAACTTGCACGACACCTGCTATAAACTGTGCACATATGGAAGCCAATCAGAGATCGTACACTGTTAAACTTTCAACATCTGAGTTTATTATTAGCTGTTGAGGTTAAGCATTCAGTCAACACAGAAACACTGGGAAGGATGTCTTTTGTGGGGCAATCGTGGCTCAAGAGTTGGGAGTTCTCTTTGTAATCGGAAGGTTGCCGGTTCGAGCCCCGGCTCGGACAGCCTCGGTCGTTGTGTCCTTGGGCAAGACACTTCACCTACCGCCTACTGGTGTTGGCCAGAAGGGGCGATGGTGCGATATGGCAGGCTCGCTTCTGTCAGTCTGCCCATGGGCAGCTGTGGCTACAACTCTAGCTTGCCTCCACCAGTGTGTGAATGGGTGGATGACTGGGTGTGTAAAGCGCTTTGGAGTCCCTAGGGGGGACTAGTAAAAAGCGCTATACAAATACCATTTTGTTCTCTGTAAGGACCAGCGATGGATGTGGGGCTGAAGCCTTTAGGTTTATATTGTTAAAAAGTAATTATGAGAGAATTTGTTTCAGGTCATTTTTCAGAGTAACATGAAAGTAACATAATGAATAATGTAACAAATTAATTTTTAGTAAACTACTGCATTACTTCTAAGAAAGGTGTTCTGTGTAATATATCACCTTTCTTGAGTAATAACCTCAACAGCGGTAAGCACAGATAATTTTTGTTGATGATGAGAAACGCAAACATACTGCTCATGTATATGCACAACATTAAGTTGCTGTTTTTTAAAGTTTTAAAATCCGTGTAAAATTAAAAGTCAAATGAACAAAATGTGTGTCAAAACAAGCATTTAGCTCGATTTTGAATTCTCTGGTCTCTGCAGTATCCTCTTTGTGGTGTATTTTTGATCAATTTAACCGATGTTTCTTTCCTACCTTCCTGTTAAACAGTCAAATATTAAGCACAGACCAGGGGCGATTCTAGGATCAGAGCTTTGGGGGTGCTGAGCACCCAGAGAGCTGCCCAGCCAGGTATGATAAACTTTACTCGTCACAATGAGACGTCTTCCCCGTCTCTGTCAGTCCCTGCATCCTTAAATGTCTCCAGTTGTCCCGAGTTCCCTCTGACTGTCACTTTGGTGCATTTAAACCCCTGTTCCTCCCTGTCCTCATCGTCTGTTGTCCTTGTCTCCATTATCACTCATCATAATTTTACCATCTCTGTGCAAGTCTACAAATTTCTTTATTAAATCATAAGATTCTTAAATTCATCAAGTCTCTCTGTGCTTGGGTCCTCGTCACAAAACATGACATGACTGTTTTGTACATTTTAACACAATTGAATCCCCACATTTGTGAAAGAAAAGCAAAACACTTTTTGAAAAGTCTGAAACAAAACCATCAAATCTGATCAAGGTTATTTAAATGCTGCAAAAAAAAAAAAATGGATTGGAATAAAAAAAAAATACATATCCTAACCTTAATTACTGCGGGAGAATAATGAATGATGCTCATAGTGAGTAAAAAAGTAAACAGAGATTCACTTTTAATGTGTGTGTATAATATAATACAGATACATGAAAAAAAACACTCCCAAAACAGAATAAATTATTACAAATAAAAATCTTTACTGCAGACACTAATTTTACTAATCTAATAAGACTAATTTTGTGTTGTAAGATTTATGAGTTTCATGCTTTCATAGTGGTACTTGGAGAGCTTGACATTTTATCAGGTGGTACACAGTGTAAAAAGTTTGAGAGACACTGATACGTGTCTGTGTGCTTTTGGAAAACA